AGAGAGAGAGAGAGAGAGAGAGAGAGAGAGAGGCAAACGAGAAGACTATATCGGCGGTGTCGTGGCGCGTCCCCGATATTCCGTAGAAAACGCACGGAGCGGTCTTCCCTCGTAACAGTCGCGAACGGTGAATCGGAGCAAAGTGTCTTTGATAATTCAGCGTTCACCGTAGGGGCGGGGTTTCCTTGGAGACGGAGAAGACGGAGAGCAGCACGACAAGCAGACTTCTGGTGACACAGGCCAGATTGACCGACAGCGGAAATTACACCTGCATTCCGAGCAACGCGAATCCAGCCAGCGTAATGGTCCACGTGCTGAATGGTAAGAGCCGTTTTTATTCCCTGAACTCTCGTTCAAAAACCCTCCGGTCGACCAAAGCCGCTTTCCTGTCCCTTGTCCCTGATCTCTCTCGGTGGCTCAACTTAATTTCTACGGGACTCGAGAGCGACGATCAGTCTTGCGCCTAGACGTAGCTACGCCGTGCACACACTAGTTTCTTAATATCGATCCGCATTCTTCTTGTACGAGGCCGCTTATCCTCGCTGAAAGAATCCGTTTCGCCGTGTCCCCTGAAATTTCCCATTTCTTTCTCACCTTTTTTTCTTTCGCTCGTTAACGCTCGTTAACGCTCACGCCACGGCGAGTCCCGTAGGAATTACAACCGCGTTCAACTACTCCGTATCGATTCCACCCCCGGCGAGGAACGCTTACGGATTCATCGTTTTCGATGTTCCGGCAAAATGCAAGAGAAACTCGTTAATAACTCATTCGTCGGCGATTCGGTTAATAATCCATATCGGTTATTACATCGGTGCTCGGAATTGTTTCGATGATTAATTATTGTTAAACCGATTACGACAAAAGGAACGCGCGTGATACGCGAATGATTTTGGAGTGTTTGTTTGTTGTTGGAAGAGGAATGCGCGAGGGGGGCGGGAGGGGGAAAGGTAGGAGGAAAGAGGAGCGCGGTGCGTGGAAATGCAGGAAACTTGAGCGTGGAATCGAAACTCACTCTCCAACCCTCCCCCCCCCC